TTTGCAAATAGACCAATGCCCACACAAATGAAATCCTCCATTCAGAATAAATTATGTTTGCATACATTTAATTACATAAAAATAAATTAATTTGCACGGGTTTGCATTACAAATGCAATTGTTGTGCTAGATGTTGAATTGCTCTGATGTGGACAGCCAACATCAGATCTCGGAAGCTAAGCAGGGCCAGCCCCGATTGGTACTTGGATGGGAGACCACCAAGGAAGCCCAGGGTCAGTACTCAGAGACAGGCAATGGCAAACTTCCTCTGAATGTCTCTTGCCTTGAAAGCCCTACGGAATAGCCATATATCTAGGGGTGGGTGGGTGTGCACCCGCATGCAGAACTGGTATATTTGCACAGAGTACACAGAAATTAGACTATATAGTTTGGGGGCAGGGAGACTTGTTATTCATATTTGTGTGTGTGTGTATATATATATGTGTGTATGTATATGTATGTATGTATATATATTGTTAGCCAAACTGCTTTATGTACAGCAGATGGCAACTAAATTTTATTACGGGTTCTTGCCAAAGTTTATGGAGGTCCGAATCCACCCCAGGGAGGTACCAGTGAGAGAGACGAGACTGGTGAATTCAAAGCAATTTGTCTTTTACTGAATAATATCAAAATCACACACCCACAAAACAGAATCACACACACAAGCAATCAAGTTCCTTTAGAATACAGAAATAGAAAAATAGTTTCTCTTTTACTTAGGAGGTATGTTGGTATACGTTCATACTTATCTTTCCTGAAGCCTTGTCTGATGCGATGAAGAATTGAGGTGTAATAAAAATAGTACCTAGGGATGTTTCTAATTCACACCTGCTAGAACCAGCTAGCAAAGCGTGGACCTCTTTGGCTGCACACACCAAGAGATCAGAAATGGATCAAATGGATTGTTTGATAGAAAGCTGGACTTTAGAGGTAGAAAGCAGATGGGATGTTGAAGGGGATTGCAGCTAGCAAAGACCCATCACATGGTCCCTGCTTTTTATAGTTGAATCTCCAGGTGGGTGGCAACCTTGCCATTCTGTAAACCCACCTACTTGCAAGTCCATTGCATAACCTCAATCACTGGTGCATGTAGTAAGGGGCAGGTACCTTAGGTGTGTGGACAATATTTGAAACTCATGGAAAGCCACCTGGTCAGGTGTGAAGTCCTGGCATCCCGTATCTCCCTTGATGTGCAGATAGATCTTGGCTTTCCCAGACAATCAAGGCACCATCCAACAGGAAATGGCAATTCAGATGCAGATCGTATCCATGGACTGTGTGACATCAGGTCCTTCAGCAATGGGGGATTTCCTCTCCTTAGTTGTTGTTTCTGCTAACAATGGCAAAATGTGCCATAAGGCTCTCAGCTGAATGTGTTTACCAGCCTCATTACCATGAAATGCAGACAGGTACCCTTCTATGGTAAAGAGCTGCGGTGGCTCAAGTGGTTAAGACGCTGAACTGCAGGCTGTGGAAGGTTGGTAGTTCAGCAGTTCGAGACCCGAGTGCCGCATGACGGAGTGAGCTCCCGTCTCTAGTTCCAGCTCCTGCCAACCTAGCAATTCGAAAGCAAGACATTGCAAGTAGATAAATAGGTACCACTTCGGTGGGAAGGTAACAGCGTTCCGTGCGCCTTGGTGTTTAGTCATGCCGGCCAAATGACCACGGAAACGTCTTCGGACAGTGCTGGCTCTTCGGCTTGGAAACGGAGATGAGCACCGCAAGCCTAGAGTCGGATTCCACTGGCTTTCGAGCAAGAGAACCTTTACCTTTACCTTTACCCTTCTATGTGAACCCTCTCACACAGATAATGCAGGCAGCTTTCCTTATGCCTATGGATATACACGTGTATGCACAGTTCATGTAGTGTGTATGTCTCAGTAGATATAGATTCACAAACAGAAAATATCAGTCTCTTTCTCAACGATAGATAGATAGATGGATAGATGGATAGATAGATAGATGATAGATAGATAGATAGATGGATAGATGGATAGATGGATAGATGGATAGATAGATGATAGATAGATGATAGATAGATAGATAGATAGATAGATAGATAGATAGATAGATAGATAGATAACAAGTCTTCCCCCACCCCCCCAAAAATTATATAGTCCACCTTCTGTGAACTGTGTGGAAATATACCAGCTCTGCATTCAGAATAAATTAACAGTTGCATACATTTATTTATTTGCATAAGGATAACTTAATTAGCATTGATTTGTATAACAAATGCAATTGTGCTAGAAGTCGAAGTGCCGTTGCAGTTTGTCAATCGTTAACCCATGTTTCTTACTCTGAAAAGATTACTTTTTCCTGACCCTGTCTCAAGAAACTGGATCACATTTCTCCCCCCTCCACTTTACAACAACCCTGTAATGTAGGCTAGGCTGAGAAAGACTTTGACAGTCTGGTCAATGGACTGATCAGGAATTTGAAATCTAGTGCACCAGCTGCTACCCTGTGGGCAGCTTTGGAATGAGTATCACCAGGGGTCATTTTGTAGAAAAAGAGGTGCAGGAGCTCATTAGCATAACTTATTAGTATAACTTGTTTGCATATGCCACACTCCCTGACATCACCGGAAGTGTGTCAGAAGGCAACACCCACCGCTCAGGCTCCACTGGACTGTTTTGGATTGCTATTGTGTGTGTGTGGGGGGAAACGTGCAGATCTGTCCTCGCAGAGGAGGGAGAGCTTGTACCTGAACAAAATCTGGTCTTTAAGGTGCCACTGGACTGTTTTGGATTGCTAGCTATGAGGGGGGAATGCGCAGATCTGCCCTTACAGAGGAGGGAGAGCTTGTACCTTAAGGGGGGGGGCTTTGCAACTTACCTGGTTGCTTCTTGCTCCTTGTGGCCTGACTGAGGGCTGCTGGGAGCGGGGGGTGGGGCTTGCTGCATGTGCCCACCCCCTGGGCTCCTTACTGCCAGAGGTCCGCTCCTGTGCGCTCCTGCAGGAAATGACCCCTGAGTATCACTCAAGTATTAGCAGGTAATTAGTTTTCATTGGTAGTTGGTGGGGCTTTTTTTAAGGGCAATGCCCTATTTCTGGTTAATTCGTGACCTGGATGGCCCAGGCTAGCCCGATGTCATCAGATCTCAGAAGCTAAACAGAGTCATGATACAGGATGGTCTTGACAGGCTGGAAAACTGGGCTAAAACAAATAAAATGAATATCAGTGGGGATAAATGTAAAGTTCTGCAATTACGGAGGAGAAATCAAATGCACAATTGGGGAGACTTGTCTTGGCAGTCGTATGTGCGAAAAGGAGCTAGGGGGTCTTAGTGGACCGTACACTGGACGTGAGTCGGCAATGTGATGCGGTTGCTAAAAAGGTAAATGCCATTTTGGGCTGTATCCACAGAAGCACCGTGTCCAGATCACACAAAGTGGTGGTATCGCTTTGCTCTGCTCTGGTTAGACTTCAGTTTGGGTTCAGTTTGGGACACCACAATTTAAGGAGATAGACAAGCTGGAACGAAGGTGGTTGAGGGGTCTGGAGACCAAGTCCTATGAGGAAAGGTTGAAGGAGCCGGATATGTTTAGCCTGGAGAGGAGATGACTGAGAAGGGGATATGATCACCATCTTCAAGTACTCGAAGGGCTGTCATATAGAGGATGGTGTGGGGTTGTTTCCTGTCGGACCAGAACCAACGGGTTGAAATTAAATCCGAAGAGTTTTCGGATAAATATTAGGAAGAACTTCCTGACAGAGTTCCTCAGGTTCCTCTCATTCTTTGGAAGTTTTCAAACTAGATGGCCATCTGACAGCAATGCTGACTCCGTGAACTTAGGTAGATAATGAGAGGGAGGGCAGGAAGGGTTGCCTCGGGGCTTAGTTCTCATGGCCCTTTCTGACACGCCCAGGGAAATGCTGATCGCCACTTTGGGGTCAAGAAGCAGTTTTTCTCCAGGCTAGTTTGGCTGAAGATCCTGGAGGGTTTTTTTGTCATCTTCTGGGGTCACTGGCAATGTTCCCTCTAAGCTGTGGAGTCTTGTGAGCAAAAATTCTACTTTGTGAGCTACTGGCATTAAAGTGGTGAGCGAGCGATTTGGCTACTGCATAAATTACTTTGCTCTGGAGCCCCATCCTTCCTGAGCTAAGACAAAAATCTGTGAGCTGGAGGCTAAGAAAATGTGAGCTAGCTCACGCTCACTCAGCTTAGAGGGAACACTGGTCACTGGGTGTGGGTGGGGAGGAGGTATTTGTGAATTTCCTGCATTGTGCAGCATGTTGGACTAGATAACTGTGTGATTCTCTGATTTTATTATTTGTATCCCGCCTTTCAAATGGGTACCCAAAGCGACTTCCACTGTTCTCCTCCCCTCCGTTTTATCCTCACAACAACCCTGTGAGGTAGGCAAGGCTGAGAGTGGGTGACTGGCCCAAGGTCATCCTGCGAGCTTCCATGACAGAGTAGGGTCTTGAACCCAGGTTCCCCAGAGCCTAGTCCCACACTAGACCAACTCCACGATGCTGGCATGGATTTCTAACATGGAAAAGGACTGTGGGGATGCGTGCCCTGGAAGGAGGAGGAGAATCGAAATGTAATAAGTAAATCCTTTTCCAGGTACTCATCCAAACACCCTGAATTCATCAAAACTCCCTCCCGTATTGAAATACAAAGAGATAATTTATATAACCTTCCAGTTTGCATTTTCCCACCTTCTGTTGGTGACCGTGGAATGCGAGGTCTTTCTTCAAACAGAATTTGGGTTGGGATGGAGGGCGAGGGAAGCCCGTTGTCGCTTATTTTCCATTCTAAAAATAGCTGTTCTTGTTTAGAAGGTTGTGGGGTTTTGTGTGTGTTTTTGCTTCAGTGTCTCTTTCTGTGTCTCTTCTCCTCCTCTAATACTGCACTGGAATTTTTTTGAGTTATTTTGTTCCCCCTGCTCTCAAGGAAAACCTCTTCTCATCCCCCCCCCACCCCCCTTTGCCCAGCCCCTGGTGCAAATCTTTCTAACTAGACAAATATTATTTCCTTTCCCAGCTTGCTCTCGGGAGGTTCCCGTATCCTCAGGTAAGAATGTTCATTACCGCTGCCTGCCGCTGCGGCGTTCATTCCTATGTATGAAGCAGTTGTGAGCCTTGTAGCCAGGTTCCGAGCAAGCTGCCCTATTAAATCAAAAAGTGATATTGGCACAGTTGTCTAAAACCTACATTGATTTTGGTGGTGGTGGTGGTGGGCGTTTTTAACTCGAGATTTATTTTGTCTGTTTGAGACCATATAAATAGGCCTGGCTTCAGGCGAGGGCAGCCGGTGAGGGGAGGGGGAATAAAACCAGTTTATTTAATAGCCTGAGATAGAGAATGTCTTTAAAAAAAAATTTTTTAATTCAGGTTTTGGAAAATGTATGGTTTTAGCACTGCGGTTTAGCTGGCTGGGGAGGGGGCACTGTAGCTGGGGTTTTGATGTACGTTGGTGCTTTTCTTCTCTTAAATGAGTTGCTGCATGCCATTGGTCATGGGGTATAATGGTCTATTTTACCGCTAACCCCAGTCTGTGCCTGCTGGAACCCTGGTAATAGCTTCCCCCAGAAACTGACACGGGATGAACCCCAACAATTAGGCCTAATTGCTACCATACCCTATTTCCTTCTGTTTGTTTGGTGATTCGTGCCCACCCCCCCACTTCCGTGTGTGTAATCAGTTGTTATCGGGAGGGAAGCTCTGACCACCCAGGAAGGAGCCCCTGCAGAGAAGCACAGAATCCACTTTATCTCTGTTTAATGTGCGCACTTAAACGGCAGCATGATCGGTATTGCGGTCTGCTCCTCAAGTGGCGTAAGCATGTGTAAACTGAACCAAGAGAGGCGCTGTTGCCTCCACTGATGAAACGGCTCATCTGGGTATTGGTGTCTTATTTGCACAACGTCTCTTAATGTAACGGAGATTCGCGCTTTTTAGCCCATCGTTGTTTTTCAAATGCTCTTTTTTTGTTTTTTGTTTTTTTTCTTTTTTTTAATGCTGGCTGGTTTTAGCATTTTGGAGATCTTCCCGAATTTAATCCGATGGGTTTTAAAAAATTTTTTGTTTCTATTCTGTTCTTGTTGCTACTTTTATTTATTTTTTTAGTGTTTTGCTGTGATGTAGCGCTGAAAGAGCCACTGAACAAGTTTCTACGGAGAGGCAGGATGTCAATATTACAAATACCCCCTGCTTATGATTTGTACTTTTGTTGGTGAAATCACGACGACTGTTTGGTGTAGTGGTTAAGAGTGGGAGAACCGGGTTTGATTCTCCACTCCTCCACATGCAGCTGCTGGTGTGACCTTGGGTCAGTCACAAGTCCTCTCAGAGCTGTTCTCTCAACAGCAGTCCTCGAAAGAGCTCTCTCAGCCCCACCTACTTTACAGGGTGTCTGTTGTGGGGAGGGGAGGGGAAAGGAGATTGTAAGCCGCTCTGAGACTCTTTGGGGTAGTGAAAGGCAGGGTATAAATCCAATCTCCTCCTCCTCTTCTTCTTGAAGGGTTCCAGCAGCACATATCAATCCGGTGCCGGCTAACCCTTGCTCAGAAGTTTGATTTGGGAAGGTTTTGATGGTACCCTGGAGGTGTGTTGAAGTATGACTAAGGGGCGGTGACTGTGGGCTGACTCAGGATTGTCACCTTGTGCTCTTGGATATGGTCTCATGAACCTGCCTTTAGAATGTATGAACAGCTGAAGCTGCCTTCCACTGAATCAGACCCTTGGTCTATCATAGTCAGTGTCGTCTTCCCAGACGGGCAGCAGCTCTCTGTCCAGGGTCTCAGGCAAAGGTCTTTCTCATCACCTACTGCCTGTTCCTTTCTAACTGGAGTTGCTGGGGATTGAACCCGGGACCTTCTGCGTGCCAGGCAGAGGCTCTACCGCTGAGCCACAGCCCCTCTTTACAGCTCTCCAGGGTCTCAGGCGGAGGTCTTCCCCATCACCTCCTGCCTGGTCCTTTTCACTGGAGATGCCGGGGACTGAACCTGGGACCTCCTGCATGCCAAGCAGAGGCTCTGCCACTGAGCCACAGCCCCTCTTTACAGCTCTCCAGGGTCTCAGGCTGAGGTCTTTCACATCACCTCCTGCCTGGTCCTTTTAACTGGAGATGCTGCCGGGGATTGAGCCTGGGACCTTCTGCATGCCAAGCAGAGGCTCTTCCACTGAGCCACAGCCCCTCTTTAGAGCTCGCCAGGGTCTCAGGCGGAGGTCTTTCACATCACCTCCTGCCTGGTCCTTTTAACTGGAGTTGCTGGGGATTGAACCCGGGACCTTCTGCCTGCCAAGCAGAGGCTCTATCGCTGAGCCACAGCCCCTCCTTTTTTTTGACTCTGACGCCATGTCAGAGTACAAGGTCTTACGGAGCTTGATTAGCTTGGAACCCCCTAAGGTTGCCGACGGTCGCCTGCATGCTGAAAGGCCTTCCGATGCCCCCTTCCCCAAACAGATGACAGCGTTCAAAAGGAAACAGAGTCTGACATCACTCTCTGAGAAAAATTATTCTTTTTCCGGGAGAATTGCGTGAGATGGCTAAAGGACATAACGGCTGGCTGGCTGTGGGTTCCTCCATAACGCCTTTGGCCTTCTGAACACTGAGTGCAGCCTTACCAGAAGCCCCTTTTGAAAGAGGTGCGAGTTCTGCGCAGAGCGCCTGGGACGTCTTGCGCGGCTCCGAAGCCATTTCAGTGGGCTCTGCGTGGAAGCCGTTCCCCGGAGGGCTGTACCCGCTTTCGCTTCTTAAACTCTTGGCTGAATCAGGCCAAAGTGCCGGGAGCCATGTCTGATTTAAAGATGCTGTTGGTCTGTGCTCTTTAAGCATCTATTAACTTGCTATTATTATGCAAATAACACATACTAATTTATGCATGGTTAGATTATGCAGATGCCTCACCGTCCTGGTTATTGAATAATAGGAAGGGACGGCGTCCCCTTCTCGTGCTGAGGAGCACTTTTTAGAGAAGGGCTCTTCTGATTTGAAAGGCTGAGCGGATGCCGAGTTTTTTTAGTCGTTTCTTTGGGTGGACAATATTCTTTGGGTGGAGAATTGAGCCTGCTTGTCAGGCAAGGCGGGATAGAAATCAAAATAAATAAATAAAAAATAACCCATTTTGTGACTTTCCCTCTTTTTTGAAGAAGTGCCCTCCTGTGAGGGCGTCTTCTGATGTTAAAATCATAAACCGTGTGTCTTTTAATTTATCGTCACAACCTAAGTATTAACCTTCCATGAAGATAGATTCCGGGGGTGGGGGGGTTCGCTGTGTTGGTCTGAAGCAGCAGAACAAAGTTTGAGTCCAGGGACACCTTTTAAGCTCTCGTGTGCACGCATACTTCTTCAGGTACATTGAAATGGAAGTTGCCAGTCCATACATATGCAGGGCTCTTTTTGTAGAAAAAGCCCAGCAGGAACTCATTAGCACAACAGGCCACACCCAACAGCAGAAACGTATTATGTTACTAGGCCACACCCCTGACAGCACAGGTCATTAGCATATGAGGCCACACCCCTGTGTTACCAGAGGTGTGGTCATCCAGCCACACCCACCTTTTGCTTCTTATTCTGTTTACTTCCTTTGTTGTCAAAACCCAGGGCTTTTTTTGGAGCAGGAACTCCTTTGCATGTTAGGCCACACACCCCTAATGTAGCCAATCCTAATGGGTTTCTGCTGTTGGGTGTGGCCTATTATGCTAATGAGTTCCTGCTGGGCATGGCCAACTCAGGAGCCAGCCGGAACTCCGTTCCTGTGCGTTCCTGCCCAAAAATAGCCCTGCATATAGGCAGAGAATGAGCAGCAAACTAGCTTACGACATAATAAAGAGGTTTAACAGATGCTGTGTGCAAATTATAATCATCACAAGAGGGGGACCCGCGATACTCGCGGGGGGGGGAAGACCTCCGTCTCCTCCATCCCCCCCCTGCTCGATCTCCCTG